ATTCAACTGGCCAACTTAAGTTTATGGGGATTTTATTATGATTGGACATTAAAAACATAGCCCCTCTTTTCCCACGTATCATAGCCACATGGGCCTTAGCCCCTTCCCCTCCTATGAAGAAACAAAACAGCATCCTTCTAATCTAATTAAAAAACAGCTAAATTCCACCCCAACTTTAGGTTATGCTATACATAATGAACTTGGGCAAATGACAGCTATTCAAGTGCAGGCATCAGGCAAAGCACCTCTATGTTTTAAAAGGCACAGCAGTCACCACCAAACTGGAACCCATAATATGGGATGGCTGTCACCTGTAATCAGATCTTTCTTCTAACAGATCAAATGTGGATGGGATGGCAAGACAATTTCCCAAAAATAAGTGCCTACCCTTCTCCTTGGGATGGTTATGGGCTTGCAGAACTCATGGCTGGCCATACTTACGTTATAATTGGACTAAAAGGTATACATGGGGTCATCCTTATCTCCAGAGATCTATCCTCACCAAATTGAACTCTCTCCCATCTAACTGGGAAATTGTGAAAGCTCACCATAGGCAACAAAACGGTTCTATTCAAAGGCTGTATTTTCCCCACAGGTAGCTACAATCAGTATCGAGTTACAAGGTGAAGCCTTAGTGAAGCACACGGCTGCAGTTTTCAATAATACACCCTAGGCCCTTACCCTCCTGAGGAAACTTCTCTGATTAGGCAGGTAGTCTTACAAAACCATATGGCTCTGGACATTTTAACAGCAGCCCAAGGGGGGAACTGTGCTTTAATTAAAACCGAATGTTGTGTGTATGTTCCAGACTATTCACATAATATTACCCAGACTATAGAAGCTTTAGACACTCATATCTGTGCCATTGATGTGCTATCAGTCAACCCTTTATCAGCTTGGTTCCAACAACTGCCCAGTTCTTGGGGCAGGACCCAGGCTGAATAGGGGCGATGATATTCCTGCCCCTGTTTAGTTTACTTGGAATAATTTTACTTATTTTGCTTTGCTGTTGTGGTTGTACTCTTTGTGTAGAAATGCAAGACAAGCTCACTCAATGCTTTCTTAAATTAAACATTTACTAATCTGCCAGACATCACCTTTTGTCGGAACTTGGGAGTTATAAACAACCTTAACCATACCAATGCTGTATAGCTGAGCTTCTCTCTACCCTGAATGCAAGAGACCCGAATTTAGGCAGGAATATCATCGCCCCTATTCAGCCTGAAAAAGTTACAGAAGACAGATCTTTGTCCCTCTGCAACCCCCAGGATTAAGGGTCCTTTTGTAAAGGGAAGGGGGAGATATGTCAGAGGCATTCAAACCACAGCAACTCCATTTTGAGTGAGGGCTAGGAAAATGAGGCTTAGACTTGCTGGACTGCGTTCCCAAAAGATTAGACATTCCTAGCCTCTAGATGTTTACAGTTAAGGGAACAAATTAATAATGTTTACTAAACAAACCCAGACTTGGGAGTGTCCAGATATTCTGATATCTGGAGAACAAAGGCATTCCTAATTTTGCTTTAAAAATAATAATATTAATTATTGCAAAATAGACTAATTAAGAAAATTAATCCTTTATCACAAACCCTTGTAGCAGAGCACATCTCCCGAGAATCTTTTTTATCATATATACACACATATATATACATATATACACATATATATGTATATATACACATATATACACACATATATACATGGTACAAGCATTGTGCCTATGGTGGACGCATTCCTCCTCTTTTAGTAATGCCCTACTCTTTCTATGGAGTAGCTGTGCTTTCACTGCTTTACTTTCTTAATAAAATTGCCTTTACTTGGCAGTGTAGACTCACCCTAAATTCTTTCTTGCACAAGATCCAAGAACTGTCTCTTGGGGTCTGGATTGGGACCCCTTTCCTGTAACAGCACCATTAGCTCTTTTTTTTTCTTTGTTTTTTTTGAAACTGAGTCTCGCTCTGTCACCCAGGCTGGAGTGCAGTGATGCAGTGTTGGCTCACTGCAACCTCCGCCTCCCCGGTTCAAGCGATTCTCATGCCTCAGCCTCCTGAGTAGCTGGTATTACAGGTGCCTGCCACCACGCCTGGCTAATTTTTGTATTTTTAGTAGAGACAAGGTTTCACCATGTTGGCCAGGCTAGTCTCAAACTCCTGAACTCAAATGATCCACCTGCCTCGGCCTCCCAAAGTGATGGGATTTCAGGGGTGAGCCACACCATTAGCTCCTTAAGCAATTCAAATAAAATTTCTTTTCTAGTTCCGTATTGAGTACAGCATATATTTACTCAATAAAAAGTATCAATATCAATTTAGGCTATTTTCCTGATGGCGAAAGATATTTAGTTTGGCAAGTTTCCAAAACTTTCTCTCTTGGTGACACTCTGAGAGCGGAGTCACAAAGCCATCTACCTAGGAGATATGAGAACTGTTCCCCAAATAATGTAAATAAAAATGCTCTCTTTGGGAGGCGGGTGGATCACCTGAGGTCAGGAGTTCGAGATCAGCCTGGCCAACATGGTGAAACCCCTTCTCTACTAAAAATATAAAAATTAGCTGGGCATGGTGATGAGTACATGTAATCCAAGCTACTCGGGAGGCTGAGGCAGGAGAATTGCTTGAACCCAGGAGACGGAGTTTGCAGTGAGCCGACACGGTGTCACTGCACTCCAGAATGAGACTCTGTCTCAAAAAAAAAAAGTGCTCTTACGTGTACCATATTTGGCATTTTATACACTGCTTTCACATAGAATATCTACTCTGATATTCTTAAATATCTACTGTGAGGTAGCATGAATCCTATTTCATGGATGAAGTAACTAGGGCTCAGAGACGTAAAGCCACTCACTCACCCCAGGTCAGTGCAGCTAGTGGGAAACAGAGCCTGAGGCTGGAAAGCAAGTCCATCTGTCCCCCACACCCATGCTGCCTTTTGAATAGTTACAGCTACCAAACAAGAAAGGAAATAGAATGTCAGGTACCTTTCTGCGTACTGGTCCGTGCTCTGCTGTTTGCTCTTGAAGGCACTGAAGCTGCTCATGTCCACGCAGCCATCGTTTTCATTTGCTGTGGACAGGGCTCTGCTCTGATCTTCAAACAGCTTCCTAAACATGCCAGCCCTGCAGGCCTCCGGGGCAGAATCTGGATATTCTCATAGTCCGAGTTCATGGCTGGCATGTTCTCATAGTCTGAAGTGTCAGCGCTGGGGAAGGAGATAGATGGTGGCTTGACCAGTGGCAAGGGCAGGAAGGGCGGCCAGGAGCGGTCTTTGAAGGACTCCACTCTGGACACCGTCCTGCTGAAGGGGACACCTTTCCTCTTGCCATCTCTATAAAAGATGAGGGAGGAGGGGGATTCAGAAGCCTGGAGCTTCCCAGTTCGAGACTTAAGCTGAGCGGAGTTACTGGGGTTTCTCTGGTCAACTTCCAGAATCCTGGAAGGCCCGTGGCAGCTGGATTCTGAAGAGGACCTGGAGGAAGGCACCTTCACATGCAATTTACTCCCTTTTGTTTTGTTTTTTTTTTTTTTTGAGACGGTTGCCCAGGCTAGAGTGCAATGGCACAATCTCGGCTCACTGCAACCTCCGCCTCCCGGGTTCAAGTGATTCTCCTGCTTCGGCCTCCTGTGTAGCTGGAATTACAGGTGCGCGCCACCATGCCTGGCTAATTTTTGTATTTTTAGTAGAGACGGGGTTTCACTATGTTGGCCAGACTGCTCTCGAATTCCTGACATTAGGTGATCTTCTCGCCTCAGCTTCTGAAAGTGCTGGGATGACAGGCGTGAGCCACCACGCCTGGCCTCTACATCTTCTTCTTAAACATCAGTGCCAGGAACCGCTTAAAGGATGACTTCTTGCACTTGTCCGAGAAGTCGCTCTCGATCAGGAGCAAGGGAGAGCTCTTTGTGATGGGCTTAATGGTGATGCAGGTCAGGTCAAAAGGAGGTGGGATGTCGACCATGGAAGAAGGCGTGGAGGTGCCGCTGGACAGAAGGTGGTTTCTCTGGGAGAAACTCCCAGACAGGACAGAGAGATGTTCCTCTTTCCTCTTTATCCTGTGGTCATCTAACCCTGATCCTCCTGGCTCCCAGTTCAAAGAGATGGGAACAGGAATCTCTTGGCCTTCCATGGAGAACAACTGAGGGTATAAAGTGAAGTCCCTGGGTTTGCTGGCAAGGCCCTGCTGGCTTCCAGGGGCTTCCCTTCCAGTGACAAAAGCTATTTCCTGCCTCTGCTGCAGCACCTCTGATGCCAGGAGCTGAGGAACCTACCTCAGATCTGGTTTCTTTGGGGGCAGTTTCTGGGATGGTTTCTGGCCCCCTTCCCCATTCCCTTATGCCAATGTTCTTCCTGTCCACGGAAAACAGGCTACCTTCTGCTTCACAGTCCATTTCTTCTTTAGAGCCATAACCACCCGGGGTGTCCAATGCAGCCTGCCCTCCTCCAGGGGCTGCCAGACTGGCAGGCCCCCTCCCATCACATAGGGGTTGGCCAGTGTGTCATCAATGACCTCCTCCTCCTCTTCCCACTCCTCCTCCTGGGAGGCTTACTCCCATCACATAGAGGCTGGTCAGCGCGTCATCCATGGCCTCCTCCTACTCCTTCTCCTCCCCTCCTCCTCCTGGCAGGCCCACTCCCATCACATACAGGCTGGCCAGTGTGTCATCCATGGCCTCCCTCCTCCTCCTCCTCCTGCAGGCCCACTCCCATCACATACAGGCTGGCCAAGTGTGTCATCCATGGCCTCCTCCTCCTCCTCCTCCTCCTCCTGGCAGGCCCACTCCCATCACATACAGGCTGGCCAGTGTGTCATCCATGGCCTCCTCCTCCTCCTCCTCCTCCCGGCAGGCCCACTCCCATCACATACAGGCGCGGGCCATGTGTCATCCATGGCCTCCTCCTCCTCCTCCTCCTCCTCCTGGCAAGGCCCACTCCCATCACATACAGCCGGGCTGGGGCGTCATCCATGGCCTCCTCCTCCTCCTCCCCTCCTCCTCCTGGCAGGCTCACTCCCATCACATAGGGGTTGGCCAGCATGTCATCCACGAAGACCTCCTCCTTCTCCTCCTCCCCCTCCCCCTACTCCTCCCCCACCTTCTCCTTCGGCAGGACCACCACATCAGGGGCTGTAGGACCCTCTGCCGCTCCATCTTGCAGGGAGCCATGCTGGCCACACAAAGCCCCGACCACGGGGTCCTCCTCCACACACAGCCCCAACTTTGGTGCCTGCTCTGATTCTAAGCCTTTCATTGACTCAGAAGGAGGAGAACAGCTCTCACTACAAAAAGAGGTGCTCTCTGTTGGGAAGAACTTGTAGGGGCTTCCCGTGATGGAAAAAAGTTGTCCATGCAGTTGTTCTGGAAAAGGATGATCTGGCAGCTCTCCTCGGCAGGCTCATCCTGTGCGCGGTCCTCCAAGGTGGCGGCTGCCACTTTTTGGTTGGTTTCCTCCTCGTGGTCAGGTGGTTCACTGAAGACAACCTGCTCCCCAACTGTGACACCTGTGGCTTCTTCCCATCCCTCCTCAGGAACCTCAGGGCTGTCTGTGGCCATCTCTGCCTCCTGGACCCCCATGGCCAGCTTCTCAGGAGGCTCCTTGCTGGCTTCCTCAGCATCCTGTCCCATGTCTTGGTGGGCCTGTCAGGACCCAAACCCTCATCTGCCCCTGCTGGGTCCGTGCTGGCACAGCCTTCCTCATCATCCTCCTCTGCCTCCCCAGGGGTGTCGGGGGGCTCGTGCTCCTCTCCATGGATGTGAGGCAGGAAGAGGTCACTCTGGAAGACTGCCTCTCCAGCCCAAGGCCCACCATCCTCCAGACTGCATTTCCTGCGTGGCTGCACCAGTTTCTCTTCCTCCTCACTTCTGGACACCTGCTCCAGTGTCCCTAGCTTATGGCCACAGCCCTCTCCTTGGTCCTCAGGAGCGAGGTCTGTGCCTTCCTCACCCTCCCTGCTCAGTGATACTGCAGCTAGGGCAGCAGTCACTGCCAAGTCCTCCCCAGCTCCCATCCCCTCCAGGCCACATGCCTCACCTCCCTCTTCACACTCCTTTTCCTCTTCCCCAGAGGCCTCAGGAGACACCAGGGCTGCATTCCCTGCACTGCCCCCATCCTTGGGTTCATCCTCCCTCAGCGGAGCCCTGGAGACTACGATGTAATCCTCGTCAGTCTCTGACTCAGAGCACTTCGGGATGGACCGGGGCCCTTCATCAAGCCCCCTGTCTACACAGAGCAGCCGCCCATTGCTGCATTTGTTCAAGCTGTCATTCAGGTACACACTGGCTCTCCACTCGTTTGGGGCAGTCAGTCTGGGCTTGGGGGCAATGGGGGGCTTCGGACCCCTGAACATGGAGTTTGGACTGTGAAGACTATCGGGCCTGGGTGAGGAAGGGAATTTGGGCACAGTCACTGGCGTCAGTGGACTGGTAGTCTTTGGCTTGGGAGCAACAGGTGGTTTTGGCGAATCTAGAGGACAAAAATAGAGAAAAGGAGAAAAAGTACAATTAACTTTATTTCCATTCAGAGTCTCCTACACACCACTTGCAGGGGACGCTGCAGATGGTTCCATCGGCCCATGTGAAGCCCACCTCCCGTGCTTCGTGTTAGACTTATGCCCTCCACCAGAATCTTTAAAATCCTTGGATTTTCCACTAAAGATTCATTCTGCAAACAAGGTGAACACACCTTTCTTCTATACACAGCCCAACTAACGAAAATCAACCAAATGAAATCCTGTGCTCCTAAAATGAAGTGTCCGGGTCAGTGCATTCATTTATCCAACAGTTACTGATAAACACTTTCTATGAGCCAGCGACCATGAGAAAAGGCTGAACTTGCCCTCACCCTCCCTGCTGCCCTCATGGAGCTTACATGCCCCCATTCTACAGCTACTCCATTGGGTACCCACTAGCTACACACATAGCACTGCAGACGGCAGGGTCTCCTAGGGTCAAGAGAAGACAGACTCTGCTGAGAACTTACTGTTAAGTTAGAATAACTGGAGGGTAGAGCCAGGGACCCTTGGAAATTATGACTGAATAGCTGCCATCTCATCCCTTCACGAATGACACTCCAAAGGTTTGAAACAGTGATGTGTGCTTCTGCTGGGGGTCACGTCTGGAATCTGCATGCCTCAGAACTGTGTCCAGCCAAGCCTCAGTCAGGTGGGGCCCCTGAGAAGGGAGCAAGGCCTGTCTGTGACGTCTGGGAGTGGACGGCAAGGGTTTGGGGACCCGACCAAGTCGCTTTGAGAAAGGGACATCTTTCTCCCTTGTGGGGGGACCCTCACTCTGCGGACAGCCGTGAGAGTGGGATACGAGCTCACACGGCCGGGACGCGGCCTCGCCAAGGCTGAGGGGGTCCCTGAGGCGGGGCAATTTGGCAGGGGTGGACCCCGATTCTTGGCGAGGGGGCCCCGGAGCCATGCATGCTTTGGCCGAGGCTGAGCAGCACCGGAAGGTCGGGGAATCCTGGGAAGCTCGTCCCGGGCGCCCCGGGAGCTCCAACTTGGAGCGCCCGGCCCGGACCCCTGGCGCGCGTGCCTCGGCGCCGCCGGAGGTCGCGGGCGGGGGTGGCGGGTGGCGGCCGGGGCAGCGCGTGGCTTCGCGTCCCTTCCGGGTCCAGGGCTCCTCACTGGCACCCTGCACTCTGGCCGTTGCGCCTTCGCCTGCGCCTCTGCCTGCGCCGCAGCCGCACCTCTGTTCCCTCCTAGACGTTTCCTCCGCTCCCCAAAAGGAAGGATTTTGTTTTTGTTTTTGTTTTCCTGCTGAGTCACGGATCCAAAGAACCGAGGGTCGGGGAGTCCCTGCCCACATTTAAAGGGGCGGTGGCTGTGGGCACCGCAGGAGGCTCGTGAGGTTCCAGGGACCAGAACTCACCGAGTTGGACTTCTGGGATGTTCCTGGCTCCTTCGCCCAACGGACCATCTATCCCTTTATTTTTAAGTCTGGACATTCGTTCAGTGCCGCGCCAGCCTCTGCGCTGAGCACGGAACAAGACAGCCCCAAATTCTTGCCCTCATGGAGCTTAGACCGGAGGAAGTCGCTGGAGACACCATTTCAAAGCGAGGGAGGGAAACCAGGGCAATGGGGCTGAGTGATGGCTCTCAGGGCGCCACGCATTCTTCGGGCCCTCCCCAGCCTCACTGAATCAGAAACCCCGTGTTTCATCAAACCCTCCAGGTTTGAGAACCACTGGAGTAGAGAATGGATGGTCAAGGAAAACCTCCCTGAGAAGGTGACATTGGTAAGGGAGACCCTTTTAATGAGCCTTTCCTTATTCACTCAGCACACACCGCGCAGCCCCTCACTGGTACATGCCTGGTGCTCGGCGACATAGATGACTCAGACTAAGCCTCCACCTCCCAGGAGTTCCCAGTCTGCTTGTCCACACAGACGCAGGCAGATAGTTCTGCTACCCCGAAGCTCGTGCTGGGATGGGAACGCACAGGTGCCTGTGGGAGCTCAGAGGAGGACCCCGGTGCGGAGGGTTCCACCAGAGAAGAGGCCTTCCCAGTAGGAGGAATTGCTGGGGCAAAGACTTCGGGGAGGTGGGACAAGGCCTGGCCTGCTGGAGGAGTGTCCATAGGTGGTGCTGGAGGCAGATCTGATTTCTCCAGCTGTAAAATTAGGAACTGAATTTGATCCTTTCAAAGCCCTTTCCATTTCTAAGCCACCACAGATTCCTTAATTCTCCAGCCTTTTGTGGAGAAATACTTGTGACTCGAATAGAAAAGCTGGTGTTACTTAGACAGGCTCTTGATACATTTTATGGGTCCATGCATGGAGGTGTGGCAGGGATGGAGATGGAGGTGATAGTGGAGGTGGCAGAGGTGGTGAAGGTGATAGTAGCAGAAACAGAGATGGTGGAGGTGATGTTGGAGGTGAAGGAGGCAGAGGTGGTAGTAGATACTAGTGGTGGTGGAGAGGAGGTCGAGGTGGTGGTGGTGGTGATGGTCGAAAGGGTAATTGATGTAGTTGTGGAAATTGTGGTGCAGCTGGAGGACATAATATATTTGGTGGAAGAATTGGAAGTGGTGGAATTGACAGATGACGTGGACATGGTGGAACTGGAAGAGGTGAAGGAGATGGTGAACATGGAACAGGTGATGGAGTGGATTGAGTTGATGGAGGTGGTATAGATGACAGAGCCAAGGGAGGTGATGGAGGTGGTGGAGATGGTGGAGTTGAGGGAGGTGATGGAGTTGAGGGAGGTGGTGCAGGTGACAGAGGCAGTCGAGTGGAGGTGGGACAAGTGATGGAGTGGATTAAGATGATAGAGGTAGTATAGGTGATGGAGTCAAGGGAGGTGGTGGAAAGGATTGAGTTGATGGAGGTGGTGTAGGTAATGGAGTCAAGGGAGGTGACGGAGGTCGTGGAGCAGGTATATCTGTGTTTAAATGTGGGTACAAATGAATGAGTGGATAAATTGCTTCAATGTTTGATGGAAAAAGAAAGTATGTTTTTAAAACTTGAGCTTGTTTCTGAGATTAGCAATAAAAGCAAAATACCCTAGAATCCCCAGGGTGGGAGCCTCAGATAATTAAATTCACCACCAGTGTTACTCTTCGCTGTCGGCCCGTGCAAAGGAGAAGGGAGGACAAGAGGGACAAGGCTTTGCTAAGTCCTTTCCACTACTGTTGAATTTGGGCTTGAGGCTAAGCAAAGTCTACTTAAAAAGATCATAGCACCAAGGCCAGCTGGGAAAATCACAGGTCTGAGCTTGTGTAGCTGAAGCCATACAATAGTGTGGAGTGATGGGCTGTGAAGTTGAAATGCTTATTCCTTTGTTTGCTGTTCCTAATAAGAGAAAATGGATGGGAGACACTGTTGGCTTTACAAACACCCACTGCCAATACTGGTGGTTGTATTTATGGGACTGAGCCACAGCCACTCACTGAATTCAGGGGGAGTAACTGTAAATACCCACAAAAGACATGATGTGTGGGGGTGATGACCATCATCGCTACTTTCTTGAGCCTTTAACATATGTATTCATCCCAAGAATTCTATAAAGGAGTTATTATATCCCCATTTCACAGATGGAAGAAAAACTGAGGCCCAGAGAGGGGAAGTGACTTGCCCTTACAGCCCAGTCAGGACTCGCATCCCATTCACCCATTTACTACTCCGTGAATGCTTGCAGTCTGCGGCTTTGCCTTTTGGCGGCAAGAGCCTCTCTGCCCTTTTCTGGAGGAGCCTGGAAGGTGAAGGACAGGAACCTCTAAGGCAGATGCCAGCAGTGTTGACATCTGAGCAGGCTTTCCCTCTCTTCCCCTTTCTTTTTGCTGTTTCCATCCTGCCTTCTATCTACTTTGGATGATCAGAAGGCCAGCAGCTGCCAGTAACTTTGCAGTGACAACCCAGCAGGAGTGTTGGAAGTGGGGGTCAAGGGGACCATCACCATCCAAGGATCAGTCAGGTGTCCACCTCAGAGCCTGCTGGGTGACAGAGCTGTGCCCATGCACAGCTTTGGTCCCAGAAGTTGGGATAAAAGGAACCTGGACATCCAGTGCATCAGCCAGGTGAGGAGGCAGGTAGTGGCGCTAATAACAGGCAGTCATAGCAATGACAGTAATAAATGCTGACAGCGGACACCTGCGGAGCACCTGCTCTGTTCTCCACCCTTTCCATACATCTCATGACATATGGAGGCTGGGCAGGGCCAGCTCAGAGTTTTTATCACTGGGTGGGATTCCAAGGTCTGTGGAGGAAGTGGACATCCTCTTCTTCCAGGCAGTCAGTTTTTTCCTTGCCTTGGCCTGTTTGGCTTTTTCCCAAAGCTGCATTTCAAAACAGCCCCTCCTGGCTGGTGGGATGTGGGCACAGCTCTGTCACATACCCAGCAGTAGGGGCAGCTGGCCCTAGGCTTCCTGCCCCTCTCTGGGCATGTGGATTGGAGGAAAGCAGCCCTTAAGCTTTCTTCAAAATAGGGAACTGCTATTCCTGTTTCCTGAAGAGCAAGAACTGTCCCCATGGCAACCATGGGATGAAGAGGCCACATTAACCCTTCTGAGGGCAGGCCTGGCTGACAGCCTCTTAACTAACCCCTCCTGGGCGTGGCACTGTACAGGCGACAAGGAGAGTCACATCTCCCAAAGGACATCCCCTAGTCTCACCACCATTCCAAGGGAAAGTCAAGGTTGAGATGTTATACGCATTGGACGAAGGGCAACTTTGAGGTGAACTCAGAGGGGTGGACAGCACAAGGATTTTGGATTTTATTCTCATAACAACGTGGAGCTGTAGAGGAGGTAAAGAAGATGAGGGACAGATTCTTTTTTTAAAAAATTATTTATTTATTTATTTATTTATTTTTAAATTATACTTTAAGTTCTGCGGTACACGTGCAGAACATGCAGATTTGTTACATAGGTACACATGTGCCATGGTGGTTTGCTGCACCCATCAACCCGTCACCTACATTAGGTATTTCTCCTACTGCTATCCCTCCCCTAGCCTCCCAGCTCCCGACAGGCTCTGGTGTGTGATGTTCCTCTCCGTGTCCATGTGTTCTCATTGTTCAACTCCCACTTCAGTGAGAACATGCAGTGTTTGGTTTTCTGTTCTTGTGTTAGTTTGCTGAGAATGATGGTTTCCAGTTTTATCCATGTCCCTGCAAAGGACATGAACTCATCCTTTTTAATGACTGCATAGTATTCCATGGTGTGTATGTGCCACATTTTCTTTATCCATTCTATCATTGATGAGCATTTGGGTTGGTTCCAAGTCTTTGCTATTGTGAATAGCGCCGCAATAAACATACGTGTGTGTTGTCTTTATAGTAGAAGGATTTATAATCCTTTGGGTATGTACCCAGTAATGGGACTGCTGGGTCAAATGGTATTTCTGGTTCTAGATCCTTGAGGAATCATCACACTGTCTTCCACAATGGTTAAACTGCCATTAACAGTGTAAAAGCATTCCTATTTCTCCACATCCTCCCCAGCATCTGTTGTTTTCTGACTTTTTATTGATATTCTAACTCACATTTTGAAAGTTTTCCATCTGGCCGTGGGCGCTGGTGAGATTTAGTGCAGAGTGACAGGAACTTGGTACTCTGAAAGGTGTTTTTTTCTGGGGGACTTTGCCCTGCAAACCCTGGAGAGATCTGAGTCATGGGG